AGGCTTATTTTAAAGCCTATAATAGGATTGATGTTGTCTTATGTCAGACCTGGGATTTGAGCTTTTGTGTTAATATCACAGATCCGCTTGAAACAGATTGAGGTCTGTAAGACGAAGATGAAGTTTTTGAAAGTGTGAAACATTCATTGGCCCAGTAGAATAATCCTGTCCCATGGTGATGGAGGAGACATCTATTTTTGGCATCAGCTGCTATTTTTATGTCCCTTCGCAGTGAATTAATTCAACTGCGCTGGAATCTGCACCAGCCAAAGGTCAAAAATGAAGGTGGGATTCATGTCGGAGAAACAGGATTTCTGGGATCAACATTGCAGATTCATGTAGAGAATGTTTTCTCTCTGAAACTGAAGAAAAAAGTAAAGTGTTTTCTTTATGAGTAAACTCTTAAAATAAACTGCCTTCTCACAGTTTGACCTCAACACTGAACATTTCTGAACTTTGAACTCGTTTGCCCCAATGAAAGAAAAAACCTTTTATCATTTAATTCTTGCATTGGACAAGTGTATATTCATGTCAGCTGATGGTTTCAGATCAGTATTGTGTTGCGGATGAATCTTCTAAAATCAGACTTAAAAAAGAATCAGAATCTTATGTCCTCTTTAAATAAATTAAAGGGTCAAATTAATCTCTCAGCTTTTGTCCTTTACCAAACAAACTCTACCTGAACTTATGTTGGGAATATTCACTTATGACCCTGACTTCAATATTTCTCTTACAAAAGAAGAACTGAGGGGAAAGTTGTTTCTGTTCTCATGAGGCGTTTGCTCACAGGCAGACATCAAAGACACAGGAAGGCCCACTCTCATAACTTCAATGCAATCATGAATAATGATTTTATCACCGTGTGAGTTTCCCCCTCGTTCGTCGGTCTTCTGCTTCCTATTGCTGCACATTTTGCATTTGAGTGCAAAGTTTTTCTTTTTACTTTTGGTCATTGTGTGTTTTTCACAGTGGAATTTTACACAATTATGTTTCTGTATTTTGAAAGACCATAAATGGCCTTTTACCAGCGTGACAGGATAACATATTGTAATAGTTTTGTAAATTACTTTTCTTTGTTTTCCTTTTTACTTAATTCGTAAAGCAGACTTGGCTTCCTTCCTTGAAAGGAGCCATTTAACTCCAAGTTATTACCTCTGCAATGGAGGTTATGTTTTCGTTTTATTTGTCTGTCTGTCTGTCTATTAATTAGCAGCATTACACAAAAACAGCTGGATGGATTATCACAAATCTTGGTGGAAGGATATCATTACACTTCAGTGCAGATCCGAATATTCCAGGCAGATCCAGGAACATTGTTTCACTTTCTCTGCAGCATTTCTTCTGCTTCTGTTAATCCTTCCAATCAGCTGTTTGTCTGCCTGCTCATTTTGGTGCCCTGGCACTCTTCACACTCTGAGGTGTCGACACTGTTTGCAGCTGCAGCTCCTTCCACTTCCTCAAACTCCTCTTACTTCCCTGTTGCTTTAGGTGTTGCCAACTTTACTGATCCGTGTCTTTATTAAGAGGGAGTTACCTTTTGTAGCAGAGTCAGTGTTGCTGCTAGATTTCTGTCAAAAAGCAGAGACTTTTCCTCAAACTCTCGTGTAAAACCCTCTATTGCAAGTAATCCGTTCATTAACTGACGTGTCTCTGGCAACTTTAATGTACAGATATGTTTGTTGTTACTCACATAAAATGTCCAGTGTCGCCGTTCCCGGCCATGGTTGATGATTTCAGCTTTTGGACCAGAATCCGGATCACATTGATGAATATGACTATGTTGACCTGGTAGACAAAATACCCAAACACACACACATAGAGAAAAAACATGTTGACTGAAAACCTGCCAGACTCTAACTTTGGTCCCACATGTGTTCAAATGATTGGAATAAATGTATGAGAGAAATATCAGTACGGATTAAGTCATCTCTTGGGGTTGAGGTAACAAGTCTGTTAGTCAGGTAGAATATTTATCTGTCCACTCACCAGCAGCGAGGCTGTTATTGGTCCTTTAATAATCCACCAAATACTAACATTGTCCGTGTCATCCCAGCAGCTGCAATTTAAAGCAGATGACATTTAATAAGACATTAAAATTATGTTGCAATCAAAAAGTCGCTGCAAGAATTATTATTATTATTTTCATGTTTTATTTTGTTAATGTAAGATATTGTACCCTCTGTCATCATAGAAGAATCTGGTCAGCACCCAAAGTATGAGAACGATTGACGGAAGCCCTGGGATGTAAGAACAGATACATTATTCATCCTTTCTGCATTTGTCGAGGAAAATGAATCAACCCAGCCCACTCACATGTTTACTGCATATTTTATAAAAAAATGTTGTTAGACGTATAAAAGTCTGTGAATCAAATTTATCTGTGTACCACTTGCATCTTGAGGCCAAAAAAAGAAACAGACACAGGATAAAAGCAAGAGAGAGAGAGAGAGAGAGAGTCTGTCACTGTAGATGCTGATAAGAAACATCAGAGCCACTCTGGATACTGAGTGAACACCACTGATATATTCACACTCTCTCACACACTGTCGGGTTGTAAGAAAAAAAGAGAGACTCATCACAGCAATATTTATTTCCAGATTTATCTCACTTATATTTTTGAACTAGATTGTCCCTCAACAGAGCCGAACAGTTCTCATCTGAAACCAAATCGAAATCTGGATTTTTATTTGGATCCACACCAAATTGCATTAATTCATCTATAGATAATAACAGATTATCTCCTGAGAAATTAAAGACATTGTTGACATACAGCAATTTATTCCAAGTTCAATGAAGCTCAACTCAGTGCACAGAACCCCAAACTGGAGAATCGGTTGTGGTTGACGTGGATGCGCCCGTTGTGGAAGGTTTATTATTTTTGAACATATCCAGTCTCCAAATTCGACCCTGCACTTTCTTAACAACACGCATACCGAGTGTGTAGCCGATGAAATGAATGATTTTCTAGATATGTGAGCTACAGACAGACAGACAGAGACTTCTGGAATTGTTAGATAAACACGACTCCCAACACCTCTTTATTGGAACGATCATGTCAGCCCGGATGCTGAGGAACCAGCTATTCTCTAATGAGACTGCTGCCAACTACAGCCGCTGCTTTTACCCTCCAGCTTCTGCTGTCTGACACAATCTGATTAAATCTGACATCCTGCTTTCACATTTCACCGCATCCTGCCGTGAGGTCCAACTATCTCCTGATTATAAATCCTGATGTTTTATGGTTTGTGAATGCAGCACTTGGCTCAACTAAAGGGTCTTATTGACTCTTACACTATGACTTTGGCTCGTAGAGAACTTTATTTTTTACTGTCGTGTCACAGCGAATGGCTAAAAGTTTCAGTAACAAAGACTTCTCACTTGAAGAGTTCAGCCTCTGTCTTCATCTTCACTGCTGCACTTAACAGAGCTGGTAGGTGTCACCTTGGGCCACAGTGGCTGAGATGCACTGTAACACTTTGGTAACAGGGCCAGGATGGCACAGACAGAGGCTGTGAAACTTCACTGGAAGTGCACATGAGGACAGGCTAACATGAGGACATGGAACAAACAGGAAAAAGCAAATGGGACGAGAATAGGAAGCCGGTGGAAAACTGAGCCACACAAGATAATACAGATGGAAAACACTTTGTGGACAGCTCAGTGAGACAAAAGACAACATGAAAAACAAAGGAAGTGATGAGGGAACAAGAGAGTTGAGTCAAGAAACAGATCTCCAACCCATGTGACCATTATCTATCGACAAGAGACAGACAATGTGATGAGAACGAGTTAATATGCTGAAATTCAACAAACGGGATCAATTTTAAGGGAACCTGTGACTAAAGTGCTAAACTACAAAACAAGCAGGATTCATCTTCATTTCCAAATGGACTTTTTCTGTCGGACGAGCAACACATTCCTTCAACTGAAGTGAATGTCACCTCTGTAGCTCTTTATCTCTGTCATTAGCCATAAGCTAACTGAACTGTTGGCCTTCAAGTTGCATTGTGGGCAATGTAGGCACCAGGTTTTGACAAGGAAGAAAAGCATGTGCATCATCTTTTTTTTTTTTTAACTGTCCATCATGAGTCAGACAAAGTGCAGTGTTCAACAAAACCTTTATTTAACTATGACGAATCATTCATTCATCTTCATTCAATCCCCTCTGGTGTTTATATCTGAGACTGCAGATCTGATGTTACGTCATCTGGCTCCCAGACTGAGCTGTCTGATGTCAATGAAAGAAAAAGCTTTTCCTGAATGAATGGCTCACAAAAAATATGAAGAAGAAAAATACTGGGTTTTTAATATTCCCCCTTATAACAGAGATTACGTGTTACCAATATTGCAGACAACAGAACATATTTTGTTCTTTTGAGGGGTTTCTTTTTTATTTCATTTTATCATTATTTTTTCACATATCCAGCGCTGCACTGCTTTGGAAGTCTTTCATGGGCTTACCACCCGCAGTCACCCCTCCACTCACCCCATCCAATCAGAATGTACCACCAGAAGTATTTCCTCTGGGAGACGAAGGTCAGGGCGAGCAGGGTCTGCAGATACATGCCCTCCACCAGCAGCCAGAAGTAATTGGCCAGGATGCTAAACTGGAAGAAAGCCACGGCGGACTTGCACGCGGTCTAGAGGGGACACATAGAGAGCAAAGTTACTTGTACATCAGACACACTGTGCAGCAACTGAGTGTGGACCAGGAGAGATAAAAAAAAATTTGTTTCGTTTGATTTAAATTGGTGGGTATTAATGATTCCTTTACATTCTGTTATAAAAAGACACAGAACATATGGACTGATAATATTTCATCCACGGGGTCAAATGAAAACCACACTGGTCATGGTTTTTTTATCCACTTTGTGAAACATGTTTAAATGATGTTGTAACTACAATATAAGGCTCCATCAGTCTTGTCGACTAACAAGATGATTTCACAGACAGTGGCAGTTCCTCTCTTTCACCCCTCTATTTCCACCGTTAACTCAATCATGTTCCAGATGTGGAAGTCTCCTTCATGACGGAAAGAAATTATCAACTCACTGTGGACATGGAGCAGTGATCCAGCGTCTCGTCAGCAAACAGCACCGTGTCTTTAATGAAAACGGCGCTGGCTCTCAGAACGAACGAGGAGAAGAGGTTGATGTGGATGTAGTTTCTGGTGCAATGGAACTTTCTGATACGAGGAAAACGGAGGGAAGCGAGGTCACATATAAATATAGTAACACTTAACAAGCCTCTTAAAGCTTCACTGTTGTGATGCCTCAATGGATGTGAACATCCACATGATATAATAATAATAATGATGTCATTGAGCTCCACATATACAACTAGAATGTCACTCAACAGAGCGTATACCTCCTCCAAGGACAGTCCCCTAATGAAACCACATCTATTTTTATTTGGTTCTCTATTTAGATATTCTCTGAAATTCTGTATATTGTTCTCTCTTTGTCATAAACTGGAGAAACAGCAGTAATGATTTTCTCCTCTGCAGACATTCGTGTGAGGAATGAACTTGTGGTATTGCTGCTGCATCACTTTTTTGGTCGCTGCAGAGCCTCCAGCCACATTTTGCTCTCATTTGTATGAAGTTGCAAGTTTTCGACTTTTGTCTCATCTCATGCTTTAAACCAGCTGTCGGGGACGTGTCACCTGGAACAGGAGCAACTTCAGGTTGCCTCCATCTTTACTGATGAGAAAATCTCCATTTCTATTTATAATATCAGGACATTTTCCAATAAATTGTGCAGAAGATCCACATTAATTCTGTGGTTGTTGCACAGGTTCTTAGACGATATTCAGTCTTAAACGCTTTGCATTTTTATCGTTTCTGTTTGTTGTTTGGTTGGTTTGTATGTTTGTAATTTAGATTACACAAAAGCTGCCTGAGGGGTTACCATGAAACTTGTGGATGGATGTAGTCAGTGTCAGAAAATAACTCAATACAACTTTGTGGATCCAGATCAGAGAGTGGACGCAGGATTTATTTTTGTCTTTCTTTAACATTGTGATATAAGATGTTTTTTAATATTTTTGTGTTAATTTTGTCACAAATGAAAATAAGTATTTAGTGAATTTAAATGTGCCTTCGTAAGGCAAAGGTACGTATGTATTTTACTGCGTGACATTCTAGTTTGTAAAAAACAGTTTCCACCACTCTAAACATACACGCTTTGGATCATAGTTGCACGTTCTAGTTTTTCAACCTATTTTTGTCCTCTGAGTTTGTTTCTAGGACATTGTGTGCTTTTCTGGTCTCACCTGAAGGCCGTCAACACCACTATGGCTGTAATGAGGGAGATGAGAGATGTGGCATAACCCACAGTGTAAACCTGTCTGAACGTCGAGAGGTAACTCATCTGGAGACAGAGAAACAGAAACAGAGATCTGAGGAAATAAAAAAATCACTTTTAATTGTGCTATAACTTGCTTTGCATTACGCTATCAAAAGGACTGTAACTGAATCATTTATATTTCATCTTGAAACAATATGAAAGCATGTTTTTTTTGTCCCTCCGCTAAACCTACAAATGGGGTTGTACTGAAGAGGAAGCAGCTCGGGAGGAAGAGCGGAGAGGAAGCAGAAACAATATGAACAAGCTTAACTGATTGGCGTGAATACAATGACCATGTCCATGTACCTCAGATTCAGGCTCTTCAGTGAATGCACAGGCCTCCTCGTAGGGTGGATATATTTCTGACCAGCCGTCAGCAGTGCAGTTCCTGTAAACATACCCTGGTGTGGGAGCAGACAGCGAGGAGACGGTGAGACATTCATATGATTTAGGTCCATTGGTCTGAACCTGTTATTTTGGTTCAGATTTAACTGAAAAGTCTAAAGGTCTGGACCAAACGAGGTTGGAGTGATAGAGTCCCTGGAGAGGCATAGAATGACTCCTTCATTATGGTGTCTTTCTTCTGTGTAAAATGTTGTTTGTTAGGTGGCGATGATGTGAAGATGATGAAGGAATCTCCGCTGACACTGTCTTACTTGTATAAAAGGTGAAGGTAAAGTAACTTTATGGAGTGCAAAACCTGTCAGGCAGCTATCTTTCCTGAAATGTCCCTCAAACAATCTAGACAGGAAAATTCTCTCACGGCCCCCCTCTGCCACACATAGTACTCCAGACCAATTAAAAGGAGGAATTTTAATAATCTGTGTATAAACACGACTTAAACAAATACATATGGAACCCTCAGAAAAATAAAATCAAAACAATGTCCAAATTCAGGCTGGTCGACCCATCGCACCTTCCAATGGATCTTTCCTTGTCTAGCCCCAATATCCCTAAACACCAAGAGAAAAAACATCTCAGGTCCCAATATATTCACCTTATAACAGAAAACATCATTCTCCAAGCAATTAAAACAAAGATAATATTATAAAATTTAAGTATTACTCATGCAATAAAGCAAACTCCATAACTAAGTCAAACTACGATATCTTACCAAGATTATCATTAATTAATTAAATGCATTAACTGGTCGGTCCGCTGCCAACCTTCTCTTTTAAATGACTACAGCATGTGATATCTCATATATATGTGAACAGATGGATGTACTCTATTAACCCCTGTCGTAGAAATCTAAAAATACAAGAGGCTGGACATTCAAATCTGTCTAAGTGTATTTAATGGTAACTTTCTGCCAAAAGAATCAACTCTCTCAGCGATCCCAGGTTGCTGATGAATAACAGTCAGTACTGGAGTGTTATCTGAGCCGGTTTAGTCTGGTTCTGTAGAGGTAACAGGAACTCATAATTTTAGGAGACGTGACAGGAACTTATAACATACAGTAAGTCGTAAGAGTCCAGATGTTCCGGTTTAAAAAGGTCAAAAAAACACCAGCAGCTTCATACAGGCTTTGGGTCACAACCAGTTCAGAACTATAACGTGCTACCTTAACAGAAAGACGATCTCCCAACTCACTCAGTTATTTTCCCACTTCACTTAGGTATTTTTCCATTAGCCCCCTAATTGAGAAATATTCTTATAATAGCCTATAAGTCAAAGCAGACTAAATGTGTATCAACAATAATGACTATAAATAAGTAAACATACATATGCAGGAATTTGTTAAAAGAGTTTTTGGATAAAACCGAACTGGCATTGATCAGATTGGAATCAGGAGCTGCACACAGCAAGTATCAATCTGTGGGACACACTGGGCAGCTTCCCTGCTTCTCCTCTGTTCTCTCCTCTCCCTCACACACCATAGATGGATAAGAAACAGACAAGAATTTAGTATTTTTAACCCACTAGGTCCTTTTAACAGCACAATAACAATTCAATATGATTTGCGCACATTATCTGCCAACACTTAGGTCTGTTTTATCTACAACAGATGTTGTCCTCCTTTAAACATCAAGTTACAGTTTCATACCAAACATCATTAATAGAAATGTTAGTTTATTTCACCCTAATAACATCTTAAATCTTTCAATAGTATATTATTACCCACAGGCTGTGTTTCCTAGTACTCTCTTGTTTTTCCTATCTTACCTATTAAGTTTGTCTTTACCCACTCTTATGCACAGAAAACATCCTTACTGATTTCTCCACTTCTCTTCATGATTATAAACGTCCTTCTTGTGGCTCATGTTTAACCAAGCTTCACGTCCCCCCCTTAAGAGTCTCATTAGGTTATTAAATATTTGAAACATTCCCGAGGAAGGCTCATATATTTAACCAGGTCTCAAGTGCTTTTTTAAATAAGGCTCATGATATTTTAGTTAAAGACAAAATGTCTTTCCTTATGAATTACTAAATCTCTTCTTCTCAGCCACAACCTACATGTGCCTATTCAATATAAGATCCATCACAGTAACATAAACCACTTAGATCTACCCATCTCAGCTGATCTCACACACACACACAGAACTTGACATCATTCCAAAAACACAGACAGCATCCTGTCTATCCTAAATTCTTAAATCGACTCATTCATACTTTTCTTATAGCATGCTTTTCTGGCCGCTCCTTTCTGTCTTTTTTCTTCCAAATGTATGTTACCTCATGAGGTGTAGATATTCAATGAGAGGCTGATTCAAACATTGTTCGTCAACTATTGTTCAAATGAAAACTTACAATTGAATTTTCCTTCTACACCCCCAGTTCCAAGAACTGACCCTGAAGAAGGTGAGGGCCCAATCTTCATTAATCTTGCATGGTGTTATTTAGCTCACCTTATCGTTACTAATCACGCTATTCTACACTTTTTACTTCAACTTCTTATTTTCTTCACTACTTTTCCACTTCTGTTTTTCTTCCTTTCTATCTTCTCTATTGTATCCCCCCCCCTTTTGCGTCGTTTACAACGCAATAAAATCTAATTCAGAACGGAGTTTCGTGGTAACATCAACACATCATGGCATGCTCACACAGATGAGTCTTTTAACGGTGCGACCAAACAGCAAACACACAACAGCATCAACGAACGTACCAGCGCCCAATCATGTGAGAAATGCTCACCGTATCAGCCGGCTTGGTGCGGGAGTAGGTGCGCTGAAGTTGTCGGCAACACATCCTAAGATCATGACACCAATTCTTGTTGTTTATTAGGTGGCGATGATGTGAAGATGATGAAGGAATCTCCGCTGACACTGTCTTACTTGTATAAAAGGTTTATTACAAGAAGTTCAGATTCAATTCAAGCACTGCAGTCTGCCTGGAGAGAGATTCAGAGCTGATGTGAATCTCTTCTCCCCAACAGCTCCAACTCCTCGTTTATATAGGAGGGTTGTTGTTGTAAAACCTAATGAAACACATATGGGCCTAATGCCCACACTCACTTATCTCAGAAAATCAAAAGCATATGGACCTCCGGATTCTCAGTACCCATCAATCAACTTCCCGCTCCAGACACCACAAAAATCTTTCAGGACACCTTTGACATTGTTTGATCTCATTGTCTCATGATGTTTAATTTCCTCTGTGGGAAATGCTGCTGGAAATCCTGGTGTTAAAAGGCTGAGACTGAAACAAGTAGATTTCCTTTGGTCAAAGTTGATGTTAATGTTTCCTGGATTCTTAAAAAAAGTGGTAAATGGAAAAGCTTAATAAATCTTTCACTCTATTTGCTCAATAAGGGATAACATGTCCCTGTGTGGCCTCATCTTAGGAAGCAGGAGTCATAGTCATAATATTTAATGTGTCTTGTTCTGATAGTAACCCTGAACCCTCTTTACAAAACCTACTGTATATGTGATCTTTAAAACAATCATACAAGCTCATCTCACTGCTTCATACGGCCTTAAGTTCAGTCTGAAAATGATCTCATTACGTTTATCTTCTCATCTTTAAGACACCATGGCTACGCTGCAATGGAAAGTTGTCATATCTTTGCACTTGAATATTCACTTCACTGACATTTCCTTTCTTGGACTGTTTCACTCCATTAGTGCTCTCAGTCAGAAAACATTGGAGGCTTTCACGTTCTTGTTCAAGTCTACTGACATTTGCTCCTGGCTAACATCCACTTGGAAACAGCAGGTGTCAGGAGGCATTGTCTGCCGGATCAGCATGTGCACTGCTTTGTCTGGGGGCATTGCGACAGGCTACAGGCAAAGTAGGCCGCCGCCGAAGATGGCTGATTACAACCCAGCCCGCTCGCATGTTTAGAGTTTTGATAGAATCTCCTTAAATTCTATGATCAGCTACGTGGAGGAGACCGCGATGACAAAATGGTCGGAGCAGCCCTGACGACGCCCCGTGCCACAAGCTTTTTGTCAAAAGCTTCGTAATCTTATGCTGTGTTCACACCAAACGCAAAGCAAATTTTCACATCGCTTTACTTGTGTGAGCAGTGCAAGTTAACACAAACCACAATTATTTGCCCATTGGATGACAAATGCTGCGTTGTACCTGGAAACGCAGAAGAAGCCAAAGCAAAGAAGCCGTGTCTGGACTGGTGCCGTTTTCAGCGCTAGTTTGATGACCTGCTAGCTTGGGTTGGCCCCAGAAATTCATTTTATTCTCAATGCTGATTGGCTTTTGCAAGATTGCATCATGCACATTTTGTATGGAATATTTGTGTGGAAATCCTGCATCTCTGCGTCTATCCATTTGAAATATGTGTCTTTTTGTATTTTTGCATTTTTGAGGTTTTGTTAAAGGTCAGAATGTCTAAATGTGTGCGTATGATGTGCCTTGGATGACAGTCGGGTTTGCACTTAACATGCAGGGAGGGTTGACTTTGGTTCGATGTCGGACCCTCCATGACCCTTTTGCCTGGGGCCCCTACAGTCCCTTGAAATTATATAATCAATGCGTCATTAGCAAACAAAGTTGTGTTGAGGTTTTTTTCTCTTCACTATGAACTGAGCAAATAGAAATGTGCACAGTTCAAACTGTTGTGTTTGAGTTGATCTGCAATTCAAATCATAATGAGCCAGGATTTCCATCAAGCTAAAGGAGGAAAGAACATTATTCCTTAATGATCCTGACCTAACCTCCCTTAATGATCCTGTTACAATGAAAATCCTATTAAGGTCGTACAGCGCAAACAATTTATTTAATTTATTTATCATGTCCGTATGTCTTAAGAGGGTGGGGAAGCCAGAGGTTTCCATATTTTGAAAATGTACCTCCTGTCCTATAAACAAACTAACAAATTAATTAAAATGATAGGCAAAGAATAAATAAACACAAAAGGTATTTTACCTCAAGACATCTGTTTTAAAAAGATGTTAACTCTAAATGTAAAATACTTCTCATGACTCTATTATTGTTAGAAATGTCTCTCTTGGTGTCATCAGCACTATATTTCTGGGAACAGCAGCCTAAGTGGTCGTCAAATTGTGACGTTGGAAACCTGCAGACAAGATTTCAAATAATTTCTTGTGCCAGAAATTTCCCAGAGCACACATAGGCGACTGTTTCCTCTCGCCAGCAAACATACATGAAAAATTCATGCTGATCTCCTTTATCAGAGAGACTGCATCAGTGCTGCAGATTTTACAGAACATATAATTATACTTTGTCGAGGAGAGAAAAAAAAAGGGCTTATAAATTGTTCACTTTAATCTAACCACCACATTGGTTGAAGAGTTTGGAACTATAGGTTATTTCCTGTGTTTCCATGTCAACTCGCTCTCAGCAAGACAAACCTTGACTGCTGGAGAAATGTTGAAATACTTCAGAGCAGGATACGTTGACCACCTTCCCGACGTCAGCTCTCAGCCAACAGCCGATCTCGTCCCACTCTGTTTTACACCCTACGGTCACAGGCAGAGGGAGCAGCGTGTCAATTCAATTTCTCAATATAATATCACAAAATGAATTAAAAAATACTCCTGAAACCTCCCAGCATCTATGGAGAACAAAGTAGAAACATTTCAGCAGCCTTTCAAACCACAGATCCTACAGAACATACGGGCAGTGGTGAGAAGTACATTTACTTTGTTACTGTACTTTTCACGTATCTATTCTCAACTGAAGTAGATTTATTCTCATGTATTTTTCACTTTTACTCCATGAATATCTTTACTTTACTCTCCACAACATTGTTACGATGCATTGTGTTGCATGTTCACACTGTGTCCTCCACCAAGGAGACCTTGTTTTCTTAAGTGTGCTTTCGACTGTCACTGCCTCGGTGGAGGTATGAGCTCTACTGGGAGCCATCCTACTTTTAAAAGTCACCGACAACAAGAGAGGAACTGGTCCACTGATCCAAACAGAGTGGAGGGAAATGACTAAAAGTACTTTTAATACTTTAATTATATTAGGAAAAATGTTTTACCTTTCCTTGAGCACATTATGTTTATTTATTTGTACTTTCACTCGAGTAAAATGTTTGAGTTCTTCTTCCACCACCACACACAGGCGACCTGGATACCTTCCTTTTCTAATGTAGCCAATAGAGGATATATTTTTATCAATCCCGACATAATAAATCTTTTCAAGTGCATGAAACCAGCTGACAGGTTTTATCCAGAGTCCAGCAGCACTGCCCTCGCCTTGTCATGTAAATGGATTACAGTAAAAGCTTTTTTGCTTAATGTCCCGCACACCAGATATTTCCATCTTCTGTCCCACATTTTCAGATTCTGTAATTTGCATATCAGCGTTGTTCCTTTGTGTCTCGGACGTGGTCTCAGGAGATAAGGTGACAGGTTGGATGTTCGCAGAAGAACGAACGGAGTGGCTCACATCTGATACTCATTAATCACAGGGATGAACATGTCAGTGAGTGTGGGGCTGCAAATATTGTATCTGAAACCATCTTCATCCATGCTGCACAGATGTCAAGAGCAGTGATGCCAAATGGCTCAAGCTGAGAAAAAGCCAGTTTGTACACACTCTACATTAATATTTGCATTTGGCTCTTTGACTGTCTGTTTACCATTCAAATTCGCTCTACATCTCAGGCTTACTGTGTCACACCCGCCTCCCCTCGATGTTTTTCCCCTTCAGATCTCCACTGCTCTCTCACGAATCCAACTGATTAAAAACCTGATTACATTTTCTCTACATTCTAAATGTTTGATGTGAGCATTAAGCTCCTGACCTGCATCTGCATGATTTTATGCTGCCACGTGATCGGTTGTTGAATTGCATGAAAAGCAGGTGTATATATGTGTCCCTAATAATGTGCTTAATGAGCATACATGTAAAACACGTGTAAATATACAAAGTCTCTAGTTAATTTGAATAATTCATAGTTCTTCTTTAAATAAAAAATTATAATGATGTTGACATTGCTTTACCTAATGACGATGAGTTTGGTTGATGATTCCTGGATCTTCTCCAGTTATTATTCCGTTACTTGATGTAAATTGTGTTGTGTAAGCTTGCATGGTTGGCTTTTATTATATTATTTATATACATGTCATTATGTTTAATGTAAAGTTGAACATTATGTTTTTGGACTCATCCCTTCATCTCTTGGTTTTGACCTCAGTAGCTCTTTCACCAGTACTTGTTTTGCCCAAAACCAACCAAGGAAGAACAACATGTTTCCTTCTGCACAAACCAATAACCTGAGAAATTGCATTTCTGTATCATACAGGTAAAAATAAATGATTTGTTTTGGGGAACTAAAGCAGTGTGAAATTAAAGTATAAAATATTTACAGACATATATTTGTCGAACCTCAATACATTTTAGTAAAGACAAATCTGGAGTAGCTGACTGTCAGACATGTTATAGCAGTAAAATCCCATTTAATAACATAAATAGTGGATGCATTATATTCAGACAAATCACTTCCAGGACAACACTCATTGGTTGAATTACACTTAAGACGTTTCTACAACTATTAAAAGTTTAAGTGTCTGCGGTGAAAAAGGATGTTTCGTGTCATTTTGATGATCCTTGTGAGTGCATGTCCACAAAAAACTGCCTGATTATATAAAACACATCTTCTCTCTGTGGGCTTCAATCCACGCTAAGGCAAAATTATTCACACCCCAAAAAACAATGCTTTCAAACCGCCCGTGGTCAAGTGCATCTCCGTGTTAGGGGAAGAAATTCATTCAAGACGATTAAAACTGGCATGTGAAGTGCTGCGTTCAAATTAAAGGGTCTGGTTATAAACTTTCAGTTAACTGTGTTGTCTGTTAGGGATTAGCTGAAAGAGAGGGACATTTACAGTATCTTCATAAAAGGGCTAAATGGCTGTGCTAAAATAATTGGCATCAGGGATTAAGGGATGTTGTGCTAATTCCACTGTGGTTAATGCCGAGCAGATGTTGGTCTCTCTAAACTTTTAAATTTTGTGAGAAGCATTTTAGCATACTGTGTGGGAGGTTTCGAGATGCGGCTCTAATCTTAATTTAATCAAATCCTAACAGAAAAAAACAAAGGCAGCTTCCAAACAGTATTTCAGATTTCACAGCAGAGACAGTGGAACGTTTATGGGCACTTTGCTGGGGATGAACAAACAAAACCAATTGCACAGACCCTGCTGCATTAATGACATGACGAACAGGAGAGCTGATGGTCGACCTGATTTAATTACTGAACTTCAGCTGCGTCTCTATAAATTTTATCTGGCAGGCTGTTAGGATGCATTAAGTCATGGGGGAGTAAAGGGCAACAAAGAAAGACATGAATTCATCAAAGTTGTAGCATCGTTTGAAACAGGACCCACATAGAAAACAGAACATGTTGGTGTTTTAACCTTATTTTTGAATGGTTTATTTAATTTGTTTCTTGACATGAGAAATATTAAAAGTTTTGAGAGAGGTTTTGTATTTTTGAACAGTGTTGACTTTGTGGTCTGTCTGGTTGTTGCTCCTCCACTTCAGCATCTACAGGTTTGGATGTTAAGACGTTAAATGAAGACATTCATGGTTCCCAGAAGATACTCAACTATTCCTGTGATTTGTGGTTTTGAGAGAAATATAACCATGAATGGATGAAGTTTCAGTGACATTCATGTTCCCCCACAGGAGCATTTCTAAATGTTGATCCCTTCAAGGGTATAAAAGTTTTTGCTTTTGCCACATATGCTGAAATACACTATCTGGTATCTATCTCCATTACATTACCCGACTACTAACTTGTACCATATGTCAATATTCATGCCCATGTTGAGGTATACAGTTGTGTGTTAAAGTAAATAGGATTTATTGTTTTGTTTTTTGCCTTGTCGAATTTGGGTATTGAGAATCGTGGGAATTTCATAGTATCGCTATCGACTACAAATTTTTGGTATTGTTGTTTGTTGGATTGATCTTGTAGATTAGATTGCTTCCACATAAACAGCTTATGGTCTGTTCAGTGGTGGAACAATATTCCCATTAGGGAGTTCTCACTTCCAGATGTTTTAATTCAGATCTCCAGATTTATTGGAGTCTTCAACTGAGGGTGACGTGACAACCTTGATGTCCTGGTTATGAAAAGAGTTTGAGATTAGAGGCATCAAAGTACGAGGCACCATTATATGATCAGTGTTAAACGTTTGTCCTCTTTCATCCATATAACAAAAGTGACAATGAATGCATGAATTATGGAAACGTTCACGGCTTCACAGGGAACCGCATCTTTGTATTTGTGTTAATCATGTGGGGAAAAACCATAATGTTGTATTCCCTGGTGCTTCTGCCACTGTTTGCAACTGACAGTAATGGCAGGAGGTTGATGATTAATTTCAAACATTTCTTTTCATTCCAAAGTTTTTCGCCCCCCCTCAACAGGACTCTATTCTCAGGCTTTTATTAAAAGGCAGCTCTTGAGGAAGCTGAACACACAGCCGCTTAAATGTCACCTCATTTTGGATTAACAGGGACGTTTGAAATGACTCTGGAGTGCTTCCAGAGCTCTGGTGAGGAAGGAAGTGGATGATCATTTATTAAGCGACATTCGTTCATTTTTCTAAATGGGTTCTTACGTTTTAATGGGATTACATTTTTTTATGTCTACCGTTCATTATAATGAGGGGTTTTTTCAGTGCCCGGAATTTTTTTTATTTTTTGGCTTAATACAGTTGGTCTATTGAATAGGAATTACAGTTTCTCTATGCGTCGATAAAGGTACAGTAACAGTTACTGGTTTTAATTTTTAAAAAATTTAACACATACAAACCTGCAATGGCAGTCAATACAGCACATTCCACCACCAAGGCCCAACAGTCCCCTTAAATTCAATCAAGTTGCACCAAACTGCACACATTCATAGATACCAGTCCTCTACATATATCTGATTTTTTTTTTAAATTCAAGATTGATGATTTTTTTGCTGGGAAAAGGTGAAAATGTTGAGAAACACCTTATCTCGCAATGTAAAAGAAAGTGAAAAGAAAATTCGTGAATCCAAACTAAACATGAATGGGATCTTCCCTGACCCATACCACATCCTTCCACCAAGTTTAGTGGAAATGTGTAACGTTCTTTTTGCATAATCTTGCTCACAAACAAACCAACCAACCAAGGGACCGGGATGAAAACATTCCCTTCTTGGCAGATGTAACCGGAATACAACATCTTCTTGGTCCCGTTACCATCAGGAGTCAATCACGGCTCATTGTTATCAATTCACAAAGGAGACGTTTTCTCTTCTCTGCAGGATTCTCCAACTCTGCGTGATTACATGCTGCCTGCAGGTTGGCATTACGCTGATGGAAGCACATACACACCCAGTTCAGCAGTGAAATTCATCAGCAGGCGTGTGTCCGTGCAATAAGCAGTGAATGACCGCTTCGCACCAAAGTGTCACTCCAGCGTTCAAAGTCATCACGGATGATTAAGATCAAATCAGTGTGGAAATGTTAAAGTTCATCACTCTCGCGGAGGGGAGTCGGAAGAGTGATGTTAATTCTGAAGCGGTTTCTGATGAAGTGGCGAGCGGAGCGGCTTCACAGGTGCAGTACGGTGTGGAGACACGCGGTGCGGCCCCTCTGGGAGACGCCAAGTTCATTAGAATATAATGAGGTCAATGAGTCCGATCGGAAGGACAGGCAGGTGAGGCCTCACCAGGAGATAGAACAGGTGTCAGTGTGTGTATAAGATCGGTGTGATGAAGATAACATGGTGTTCCATCACTGCGTCCGTGTACACAGGCAGTAAGATAAAAAAAACTCTTTTATTGTCCCACTCATGGAAATGAACCACCGCCACAACAAACCAGCAGTGGTGGCTGAGGTACTTGAGCCAAAACTCAATATAAGAATACTCAGTTACTTAGTTAAGGTCCAGTATAGTACTGGCCACCAAATCTAGTATCCAAAGTAAAAGTATTCAGTCTGTCAGTGTTGTATTATTATTACTGGATGATTTGTTTTTTGAAAGCTGTACTTTTCAATCAGGAGCTAATTTGAATGTTTCAACCTAAACCAGTGCAACATCTTTTATACACTGATCATGTTAGAAATGTTGTATTAAAGGAACTGTAAGTGTGGCTTTGAAGTAAATGGACTTAAGTAAAATGTATTTACTGGTTTCTTTAATTTCAAGTAAGATTAGGTAAAAACTACTGGATGGATTATCATGAAACTAAGTGGACAGATGCAGTTTACGTCCGGAAAGAACTTGTCAAAAGTTGGTGCAGATCTGAATCAGGGGGAGGATCCAGGATATTTTTTTCACTTTCATTGACGTAAGGAATTTTTCATTGATTTCTCAGAGAATAATTTGTGGATCTTTGTGACAAAATCAGGCAAGTTCAGAGGACAGGTATTTATGAGCAATTAGTTGCAGATCAAAATGAAAATCCAGATCTAGTGAATTGTATGTGTTTTAAGGGGACTGATGAGCCCTGATGGAGGAATGTGCTCTACATTCTATTCTTCTTCTGAAACGAGTACTGGGGAATATGAAATAGAAAAACTCAAGAAAAACAAGATAATTATTTCAAACAGTATTTGGTACCGATATAAATCTAACTCCTTTCCACCTCTGCAACAAGGGATTTCTTTTCTGTTGAAATATATATCTATATATAGCAGAGTCTGGATCATTGTGTGTAAACAACACCATTTCAAACAGGAGTATTTTTAGACTTAAAACAGAAATCTCCTCTGAAAAAATGTATTTAAATTATTGTTTTGGAGCTGAAATTATGTGTCAGTAAATCAATACCTCAGCGGACAGAAAGATAATCTGTAACTTCTTTGATAATCCAATAATCTTTTCAGACCTTTTTCAAGTAGAAATGTTTAATACTCACTGGCTCCAGCTGCTCTGTGGAGATTATTTGCTGCTGTGCTTTGTCATTTTGGAAAATAAACAGTCTTTTGTGGGATTTAGGACGGTTGGCTCAAGAAAACAGAAGAAATCACCCTCGGGATCGGGGGAATTTTTATGGTCATGGCATAGTATACAAATCAACTGACTGATTAAATGAGAAAATAATTGGCAGAACAGTATACAATGCCAGTGTGAAGTGTTCCCTACACCACAGAGTAGATATACTCCATTACAAGTGATCGTCATGTATTCAAAATTATATTCAAATAAAAGTAGTATTAGTGAATGTTACATCTTATTGTTTACTAGTCGTCATTTTACTGTTGAAACTGCGTAAGATTGATCTTTTACTGCTGTATTCACAGTCTTATGGTTCAATATGGCTTTTCCCAAACTTCCAATGGATCAGAAGATAAAGCTGAAGTGTCGTGAGATAATTTGAGAGAGAGGAAAGAAAACAGAAGTTCCAACAAAATCTTATTCGACTTTTTCTCTGATATCTGAAAAAGTCTCCTTCTTTGGGCCTCAAACTGTTGAAACAGTTTGAAAGGTTCACAGTCGTAAGATGATCTGAGAGGTTCCCACTAACATTTGTTGGTTGAGCTGACAATTAAGAAGCTGTTTTCAGACATGCACTGAACTCCTGACGTCTCCCTGAAATTATCCAGAGGGGCTGTATGTGACAACATTAATGTCGGAGTCAGTTCCTCCAGATATTTTCCTGAACTTTTCACCTGTCATAATGAGCCCATGTGAGAATGCAGCCAGAAAAACACATATGTGCTTTAAATGGCAAAGTCTGAAGAGTTCATGTCGGACAACAGCTTGAGAGATATGACAAGGTTCAGGCTCTGGTCACTTGTTTGAGATAAAAAAGGCACATCGATTGGAAATCACAGTTGTTTTTTTTATTTTAACAGTGGTTTGTGTTGTTTTAACTTATCATATGTTTTATCTGATAACTAAACCCTCAAACACTCTGGTTAAGTATTTCAAAATTGGAAATAGAGTTCCAACATCCTATACAATGTTTCAGAATTAAAACTTTAAAACAAACATTAGTTTAATTAAATTCTCTAACAAAAGTGATTTAAGCATGATTGTATTTCGTCAAAGGGAGTTCTCAACATTGTGACTGCATTTTAACAGCTGTCGGCCTCTCACATGAAGTCACGTGGGGTTCTGGCACATGCATCTGTGGCTCATCAAATTAACAAAGTTTAACATGAGGTCTTCTCATGCAAACATCATTCCACAAAGAAGAAAACACCACAAACCACGAGGTTAAAGGTCTGAGCCGAAACTTTACGATACATCATCTGCCTCCATGGAGGAATTTATCATGAAAACCCTCTGTGGGTATTAAAACTCTATTGCAGACACACACACACACACACACACACACACACACACACACACACACACACAGCAGCAGCAGCAGCATCACACATAAACCCACCGCTGTGGTCGCTCTGGTTTTGCGCCTCGCTCCTCCTCATCTGGCTGCAAATTTCCCGAGCCCGCAGGTGCTGCTGGATGATGGCGCAGTCCGGGTGGATCGCTTCAGCCTGAAAAAACACGACACACACCAAAGTTATCTACAATAAAGCACTCTCACACACACACACACACACACACACACCCGACGCTCCTCTGTTCCCTCTCTCCAGGGAGTACTGATGCCTGAGTGGGTGCAGCAGTGATGGAAGATTTAAACAGGAATGAGTCTAATAAACAAACATCACGAACAGATACGCATCATTCTCCACAGATTGTATCCTCAGGTCTCAAATTAAAAAAGTCTCAGAAGACGCCTGAAAATGTCGAAAGTCGAAAAACAAAACAGTCTTTGAATTCCTCCACAAATATTCAAGTTGATTTCTCGTGCCAGAAAATACAAACGATGGCTCTTGCAAATCCGTATCAAAATGTGGATGGTGCAGGTCAACCTCCACGCTAATAGAACTGCAATACAAATGTCATGAAGCGGTTTCTAATTTCGATTTCTACTCATTTGATCTCCAACTTTTGCTGCACTTTGAGCTGCTTTTCCATGGATGACAGTGGAATGACGCACGGAGTCAGACGTGCCACTCACCATGGGCCTGTGCCACAGCTGCAGACAGAAGATGAGGAGTACGAGTTTCTCCTGTCGTCCCGGCAGCCTCCTCTCACTGTGCATTGCTCCTCTTATCTTGTCGTTAAAATCCCTCATCGGCCGCTGAGTGATCGGATCCTGGTGCTTCTGTTCCTCCTGCGCGTCTCTCCGAGACTCGCTCCTTGTTTATGAACCTCCTCGGTTTGAAAATACACTCGGTCAGCCGAAAATAGACGAGTCCCTATTCCCCACACTGCGAGCTGTAAACTTGCATGACTGGATGATGATGATGATGATGATGGCTGCTGGTTGCTGTCGAGCATCTGCCTCTCTCTCTCTCTCTCTC